AGTCGGCGCTGCTGTCGCGTCCTGGCGGTGATGTTGGTAACGCACAGTGGGCCAGAAGACCGGTGGCGGCGGCCAAAACGCTAGACGCGTTTTGAGCTCCAGAGTCGCTAAATGCGACTCGAACCGAACGTGTGACCCCACCAATGTATTCCTCGTTCTGAGAGCAATCCATTGGCGTGGTCACACGCTCGGTTCGAGTCCAGCTCAGCGACTCTAGTGCTCAAGACGCGTCTAGAGTTTCGGCCGCGGCCACCGGTCTTCTGGCCCACTGTGTCGTGGCGATGGTGTCGTCGTCCAGGACAGTTGGCGCCACTTCTCCGCTATTGGCAGTGCAGTCGCTTAGACGTCCGTCCGCCCCTCCAGGCTCCAGGGGGCTCCAGGGAGGATATGATGTGATGTGGGTAGCGCGCCAGCTTTGTCAGCAAAATGTGAAAATGTCGGAGCAGGCAAAGAAGGACGCGGGGGTGTGTGGGGCGCGGCGCGGTCGGTGGGGGTGGGGGGGGGGGGGGAGACTTCCGTCAGCAACCGCTTTCTCGGAACTGTCAGCCGGGCTGGATGCCGGTGGGGCGGGCGGGGCGGCGGGGCTGCCCGTCGGGGTGTCAGTTTGCGCGCAGCCGGACAGCGGCGGCCCTTGTCCGACACACGAGTGGCAGAGGCCGGCGGATGTAAATCGAAAAGAAATATTCGTCCCGGCCGGCCGACGGCATCGGGGCGGCGCGGCCGGCAACGGCAAGGCAATGTAAGCCCTAAACAGCCCAAGTTCCAAGGCTATCCCGAACAGCGTGCGGTTGCTGCCCGAGGGTGGCTAACCTGCAGGGCCGCGGCAGTCTGGAGGCAGCCTCAAAGGGCCAGGGGCCGGCCTAGGGCCCCGAAGGGCAGGGCTCGGCCGGCAGGGCTCGGCCGGCACGGCTAGGACCACATCTATTTCTGACTTTACGACGCGTCCTGCAGGGCCGGCCCTTCCAGCGGGCTGGTTCCGGACAGGGTCTGTCTACCTCGCACCCACACGGGGCGCCCCGTGAGCGCGAGAGAGGGAGAGAGACCTTCAAGTCGGAATCAGCCCTTGGCCGGCCGGGGTTGGCCCTTTACTGCCGGCCAAGCGGCCAAGCGGCCCGGCAAAAACGGGGCGGCGCGCACGCGGTGCACATCGAGGCGGTGATACCCCGCAGTGACACGCCGGCGCTACCCCGCGCGCCGCCCCGCGCACGCCCCGGCGATACCCCGCGCCGCCACACGGTGCGCCAGAAGACGGGTCTAACTCAACCCGGGGAGTAGGTTATCCCGCCAACACCGGCGCAGGCGGCCGAAACTCTAGATGCGTTTTGAGCTCCAGAGTCGCTAAATGGGACTCGAACCGAACGTGTGACCCCACCAACGAATTCCTCGTCCGCAGACCAATTCATTGGTGGGGTCACACGCTCGGTTCGAGTCCTGTCTGGAGACTCTCGAGTCCAAAACGTGTCCGGGATTTCGACCGCCTCCGCCGGTCTTCTGGCCCACTGTGCGCCGCTGCACAGTATTGGCAGGCACCGCTGCAAGCACGCGCCCTGCGCTGATCTGGGCAGATCCGCCCACCGCTGCTGCACAATGTTTTCCTTTCCCAAACAAAGGAATAGAAAACTAACAGAATAAGGAAGAGGAGAAACCGGGAGGAAAATCGAACGCGACGCGCGCGGCGCCACTTCCGTACACAAAGGCGGCGCCCCCGCCCCCCACCTTTATCAAATGCTTATTTTTGCAGTCGTCTCGTTCCGATTCCTTGGCGCAGTTAAGCCCGGGGCGCAGATACGGAATGTTTCATCGCGGCCGGATCCCCGTGTCGTTTCGCATTTGTTGCGCTCACTGCGAAAATAGGAGGGGAAAAGAGGAAAAGAGGGAAATAAAGGGAAAAGGAGAGTGCCACGCAGACATGCTTCTCCTGACTCCTGGTGGCGGGAACCAAACTCGCACCCCGCATGCACTGCACAGTGGGCCAGAAGACCGGCGGAGGTGGTCAAAATCCCGAACGCGTTTTGAGCTCCACAGTCGCTAAATAGGACTAGAACCAAACGTGTGACCCCACCAAAGAATTCCTCGTTCGGAGAGCAATCCACTGGCGGGGAACACGTTCGGTTCGAGTCCTGTTTAACGACTCACGAGCACAGTCAAATGTATCTTCAACATGTTTCGATTGCAACCAGTTTGATACTTTCATACACATCGACCTCCTCTTGCATGGTTGGACCGACAGGCCCAATTCAATCGATGCAGGCCGCTTAACGACACGGCCCTGGGTTCAAATACTAGTCCCCTCCCCCGCAATTTTATTTTACTGGTGGCGTGCCGCGGTATTTGCAAATCCGAAAAGGCCGGCGAACACAGACATTACCGTGCACGCCACGGCCACGCCCACTTTTCCACTTTAAGGGCTTCCCCGCCGACGCTTGGCAGGCCCAGGCAGGCCTCGCGACCAGAGAGTCCTTTCGCCGCTCGGTCTCTCTCGCACCCCTTCGGGACGCCCGGCGAGTGCGAGAGAGAGAGAGAGGCGACTCTTCGGGAGCGACCTCGAAGGTCTCGAAGACCATCGCCGCAAATTGGGCCTCAAACCGCGGAGCCGTAAACGTTAACCAGTCAGACTTATCAATCACTTTGTAGCGCCGGCCGCACGGCAACGCGCCGTCTCTCTCGCACTCGCGGGGCGGCCAGTGGCTGCGAGAGAGACAGACTGACGAAGGCAACATAGGGAAGTCCGTCGGGCCGCCTACCCGACCCTTCCAACGAATTGCCCTTCGAAAAAAAAGGAACGAGTACACTGGTATTGTCATTCTTCGATACGACTTCTAACCGTGCCTCCCTCGCAGGGTGGGCCAGAAGACCGGCGGAGGCGGCCAAAACTCCAAACGCGTTTTGAGCTCCAGTGTCGCCGAAAAGGACTCGAACCGAACGTGTGACCCTACCAGTGGATTCCTCGTTCGGAGAGCAATCCAGTGGTGGGGCCACGGGTCACACGTTCGGTTCGAGTCCGATTCAGCGACTCTGGAGCCCAAAAAACGCGTCAGGGATTTTGACCGCCACCACAGGTCTTCTGGCCCACTGTGCGGCCCGGCTTCGAACACCCGCTCCGGCCGGCCCGTTTTCCGGAACGCATCAACGGCGTGTTAATTTGGGAGCATTCTCGCCTCTATCGGGCCGCAACATCGGCGGCAGCGCGGCAACACAACGCGGACGGTAACGAGGTGTGGAAGAGGAGGGGAGGGGAGGGAGGGGGAAGGGGTGGGGGAGGGGAGGGAATGACCGTTAGCCGGTCAGCCTCTCATTGGGGTGCCCCTCACGCACCCAAGTATATCGCCACGGCCGCCGCTCAGCACATTGTGGCCCGGGCCGCCCTCCACGCCGGCGAAGGCTCGCCGCTGCCTCGTCGCCCCGTCTCTCTCGCACTCGAGGGGCGGCCCGAAAGGGAGCGAGAGAGACAGACAGAGCGACGGCACGAACCCTTCGGAATATCAGCGGCGGCTGTTACGACATGCAGGAGGTGGGAAAATGCACGGCCGGCCCGGGCAGTGATACGGAAGGTGAGAGGAGGGGGAGGGGAAGGGAGGGGAGGCGGAGCAGACGCCGCGAGCCGCACAGGTGTTGTCCGGGAACAGAAGGGCGCCAGGTCATACAGCAGAAGTGTCTGTGTGTGGGTGAGGGCGCGCCCGCTCGACTCGGCCCGCGCGCACGTGTGTGTGTGTGTGTGTGTGTGTGTGAAAGAGTGAGAGAGTGTGGGTGGGGGTTAAAGGGCGTCGCTAGTATCGCCTCACTGCCACACTGCTGAACCGAGCTAACTTCTGCGCCCTTTGCCGCTTAAAATATAAATGGAAGAGAGAAAAAGAAGGACCACCCCCACAGGCCCTTCAAAGTCAAAACACGGTGTATCGTCCAGTTTTTTGGCAGATTCCGCAGAAGGGAGTTGTGAAGGGCGGTGAAGAATAAGAGAGGGAAAGTGAAAGTGCAGGAGAGGGGGAGAGAGAAGGATAGAGGGCAGGCTGAGGCAAAACTGCTTGACGCATCGATACATTCTCTCTCGCGAACCCACGCGAATCACCCTGTGGCGAGCCTGTGCTCTGTCTCTCTCGCACACCCGACGGCACGCCCGGGCGCGCCCCGAGTGCGAGAGAGACAGAGAGAGACAGGGCGCACGTCACGTGCTCCAGGAGGGGCGGCCGGCTCAGCCAATCATCGTAAAAGGAGGGCCTTATTTTTATGTAGAGAATCCCACGTGAGGTTGGCGAGGGAGCGGGCCGGGCACAGTGGGCCAGAAGACTGGCGGAGGCGGACAAAATCCCGCACGCGTTTTAAGCTTCGGAGTCACTAAACAGGACTCGAACCAAACGTGAGTCTCCACCAATGGATTGCTCTCCGAACGAGGAACCCATTGGTGGGGTCAGACGTTCAGTTCGAGTCCCGTTCAGCCACTCTAGAGCTCAAAACGCGTCTAGAGTTCCGGCCGCCTGCGCCGGTCTTCTGGCCCACTGTGGGCCGGGCCGGGCCGGGCCGGGCTGGCTGAGACATTCGATGGAGGGTAAGGTGAAACTGCGTCGCTGCGTCACTGCCTTACAACGGGCTGCCGTCCAAAATTGCCCCATCGGCTTGGATGCGAAGGCGCGCTTAGCCCGGTGCGCCGCCCACACTGTCGAATTTCGGCTCGTCACTGACAGCGTGCTTCGTCCGCGAGGATCGCGGATCGACTCCCGGTAGCGGCGGCCTTTCCCGACTCTATCAGTGGGGTGGGACGGTGGGACCAGAAAAAGGGGGTGGGGGCGCAAGAGGGGGTGGGGTGAAAATTGGACGGCCACGCATATCGTTAGCGGTCGACCTTGCGGCCCCCAGCTGTGCCAGCCAAGCAGGCTTGCAAGCAGGCCGCAGCGTGGAAAACGAAAGGACCGCCCGACCGACACCTTGCGGCCCTCTCGTGCAACCGGCAAACGACGCAAAGAAAAGGGGAAAAACCGGGAGACTCTGCCGGGAATCGAACTCACCCCTGCCAGCGTCCTGATGTTGTGGAGGGCGTCCTGAGCCTGCAGAGCCGCCTTCCGGGTGTAGAACGTGACGAAACAGCATCCTGCAAGCAAAAATACCTGGAGTTAATGTTGTTGTTGTTTGGGGCAGTACCATTAGGCCCGTAAGGCCGAGGGGACCACTGGTGCCGCACAATGCGTCATATTTTATACATTTTCCGGACACGAGCAGCCACCGCCCTGCGGCCCACGGCCATCTCGGCCAGCCCCGCGAAAGGGATGGCGTCGGCCCTCGGAGGGGCGGGGCGGGGCGGGGCGGGGCGGGGCGGCAGCGGCCCTTGCAGCATCAGATATCGTTTTAAATGCCACTGCGCCCAGGAGGGCTCGAGGGAGGGCCGGCCCGGCCGCGAGCCCACCAGGCTCAGCGGGGCCCACCCTTCCTTGCCGGCCGTCCGGACGGGCCGCGGGGTGGGGGTGGGGGTGGGGGCGCCAAGGGGGCGCATGGCAAAGCAGGCTCGATCGGGATTTAGCAGCCAGGCAGTGCACTGTCGCCCTTAAGGCGATGCTGCGCTGCACAAGGAAGGACTTCCGAATGCTGATTCGGTAGCTCCGTCTCTCTCGCACCCCGTGGGGGGTGCCGAGCACCCCGCGAGTGCGAGAGAGACAGAGCGCGGCTGCTCGGCATGAGCCTGCAGCGCCGCCCGCGGCGACAAGCCAAACTTGTAAACGGATCAGGCCGAGTCCCGGCGAGTGCCGGCCACTTTCAGACAGTTCCAAGGAACCGCTCGGTCAGAACCGTGTCGCCGTCCCACAGTGGGCCAGACCTGTGGAGGCGGCCAAAACCCCGGACGCGTTTTGAGCTCGAGAGTCGCTAAGTGAGACTCGATCCGAACGTGTTGCCCCACCAATGGATTGCTCTCCGAACGGGGAATTCATTGGCGGGGTCACACATTCGGTTCGAGCTCAAAACGTGTCTAGAGTTTTGGCCGCCTCCACCGGTCTTCTGGCCCACTGTGGGACGCATTGGAGGACTTGACGCCGTCTAAGTGGCCGTTCCCCCGCGCCGAGTAGCTTCGCAGAACGGCTCCGCAGCCACACCCTTCCCGCGCCACGCAGTTCCATGTGGGCAAATTTTTTGGTTTGAGATTTCCCCCGGGGCGGGCGGGCCTATAGGTAGTACAGTGTGCGTGGGCCGGTCTGGACTACGCGGGGGGAGGGGGTGCAGGACGAGGAAAAGGTAGAGTAAGGGAGGTCCCGAACTCGATCATGCGGGTCGGCAGCACCAGTATCTCGTGACCTTCCCCTCCTCTCACTTCTTCCCTCCACCCCCCCCTCTCTCTTCTTCCTCCAGGCTGGCGCCCTGCTTCCGCCTCTAAAACGGCGGACAGATTGCACTTTTGTGAATCAATGATCCGGAAAACACATTTCCATCCCTTTTACTGTGTGTGCGCGCGATATGCCCGAGTCGTCGTCGTCGTGGAGGAGGAGCAGGAGTTCCCATAGGAGCGGCGGGGGAGGGGGAAGGGGAACCCGAAGGGACGTCCCGGGACATCCCCCTCAGCACACCTCAGCGCAGCACCCTATTCGCGTGCCAGCCCGGATCGCGTTCCACACACACACACACACACACACACACACACACACACACACACACACACACAGAGCGGACATGGTGAACGACCGTGTAACTTGAAGAAACACCGGTTTTAAGGAGGCCGCATCTCGTATGACGTCTGCGACGACTATATCTTCAACAGGCATTTCGCTCATGAGCGAGCAAGAGAGGTTTCTCCCTCAAGATTTTCGTTTTGACTTTCTTGTCACTCCCGCATTTTGTAATCCTTAGGCGCTCCGGTCTCCGTCGCACACGTGAGGCGTCCCGTACGGCAGCGAGAAAGACAGAGCGACGGAACGATGAATGGGGAACCACACTCCTAATGTCTTACGGTGAAAGGCTGCACCGCCATATTAGGTGAAGATTTTCTCCATGAAACGAAAGAAATTAGTCAAAATATCTATACGGTGCAGTGAATTCTCAATGGTATGTTATACAGCCAGCTGCACCACCATAATATAGAGAATTTTCACCATAATATAGAGAAGAGAATTTTCACCATAATATAGAGAAGAGAATTTTCACCATAATATAGAGAATATAGAGAATTATCACCTTCACTTTTATCTGCACTTTTAGAGTGCAGGGGGCATGGTGGTGTCCCTGGCTGTGCTCCGTGTCTGCGCGACGGACGAGAAAAACCGAAAGCCAGCCAGCCAGGAGAAGGCGTCCCTCCGGCCGACCCTTAATTAACCGAAAAGCAGCCTGCGTCGGCTTGAGGTCGGCAAGTCGGCCCCTCCGTCTCCGGAGACAATCCGCCTCGACGCGACTCAAAAATAAAATCGCACACAAAATAAAATAGAATAAGGGCTGCCGCCGCCCTCAAAATTACCCTCGGCGACTATTTCATTTCACCCTCCCATCGCAATCTCAGGCCGGGGGGCTGCAGCGCTGCGGCATGCCTGTCACGCCGAGTAAACGCGAAAAAGATAAGGCTGGCGGGAATCGAATCCGGGCACGCCGTAATTTGTACAGTCGCCCGAGGCGACGCGGCGACCGCGGCCACGCACTGGCACACTGGGAAGATGGCGGCGCGGCGGGGAAGATACCCGCCTGTGCAGCCACAGACACGTTGAGACAGTGCATCCGGGAAGACAGACAGGCGGACAGACAGGCAGACAGACAGACACAGCCCCCCCAGGGGCTAGGCTCCGCGGTGTATCGCCACCACAGTGAGTGTTGGAGACGCACGAGACACAGATGGATGCCGACACCGGCAGATGCCAGCGCCGATGTTTCAAACAGCAAAATTTTTAATTTGTGGGAAAATTTTAATTTGTGACTGTGTCAATCACACAGGAAGAATGAAATGAAAACGTCTTGTATTGTTCTAGGTATGTTTTGAAGTAGGTATAAAGATATCATCTGCTTAAAAAAATGTCAAATTTTTTTAGCAATTTCGTAAAGTTATAGTCAAAATTTGCAAAACAAAGGTGCTAAATTAAAATTTTAAGTCATGGTGCGAACGGGCACCTGCTGCGTCTCTGGACAGGTGTAGCTTGACGCAGCAAGACGATTACACGCTCGCTCTGCGCCCTTTCGTCATCCCGTCCTTCACCCCGTCCGTCTCTCTCGCACCCACACGGTCCGCCCCGGGCGGGGCACGAGTGCGAGAGAGACAGCGAACCGCTCCGCCGGCCAAATCGCGGCCATCTGTCGGCCGTCGCTGCCGATGCCCCGATGCCCGTGCTATCGGTGTCTCCTTATCGCCTTGTCTCACTCGCCGATGGCGCTCCATCCGTATTGCGAGAGAGAGAGAGAGAGAGAGAGAGAGAGAGAGAGAGAGAGAGAGAGAGAGAGAGAGAGAGAGAGAGAGAGAGAGAGAGGAAAACGGCGGAAATCGGCATCGGAAGGGGGCTGCTCCGTCATGTTCGGCCCGAGCCTTCGTCGCTGGATGCCTGCCAATGGCTGGCCGGTCATCATTGGCAAGAATCTGCATCGCAACAAGGATGCCGGGGGAGCCACACTCTCAAAAACTTGCAAATTAATTCAGGATTCACAAAGGAAATCCTTCGTTTTTCGTATGACAAACGTAATTGTTTGCACCTTACAATGCTTCGTGAAGTACTTGGCTTTAAGCGTTGATGGCACAGGAAATGCGTGAAAACGCGAGTCCGACTTACATTGGGGTGAGGTTCCTCGAATGCCAAAGCGGCGGGCAGGGCACCGTTCTGCAGGCTGATAGCGAAGCTCGTCGCTGTCTCTCTCTCGCACTCATAGGTCGTCCCGTTGGGGTGCGAGAGAGACAGCGCCAAGTGCGCCGCCGTTTCCCAGAATCAGCCTGCTGCTGCGTCGGCCTTAAACTCCCCGGAGACGGCTTGATCAAAAATTAATCCGAAACAATTTCCCGCGAGGAAGACAAAGTTGGACCTATCGAGTGGCAGTGCTGCGCCGGCGCACTGGACAAAGCGGATCCATTTCAAAGTTGGCAGCAATGGGCTCGCCCCCTATACTCTGTGAGTGTGTGTGTGTGTGTGTTTGTGTGTGTGTGTGTGTGTGGACAACGGAGGGGAGTCTATCACGTGTCGACTTCTCCTCCATCCTTGCGGAAAATCACAGATGATAGTTTTCCCCCCCGAGGCCTGCAAGGACGCAGCAGGGCGGCCGGGACCGGGACCAGGGGCCTCTCCGCACACAAGGCAGCCTGGTGCACGCTCGCAGTGTCGCCGCCCGGTGGGCAAATTGCACGAGGAGTAACAGGAAAAAAAAAAACTTGTGCCGCAAACATAAAACACAAAAATCAGGTTTACAAAAGAAATATTTTCGGAAGGCCTCGACACTTTTTATATTTTTTTGCTGATGGTAATCGAAGTCCAATAAAAAGCGACAGTACGGCTTCGTGTCCCTACACCGCGATTTGACATGCGTGTGATGGGACCAAGCCCGGCAAGCTGATTAAGTGCTTCACTAATCACGAATCGCCACCTGCCTGGCCGGGCACGAGATCTCACGTGAGGGGGGGAGAGAGAGAGAGAGAGAGAGAGAGAGAGAGAGAGAGAGAGAGAGAGAGAGAGAGAGACGGATGATGATGGGCTCAAGCCCCAAACCGCCCACACTCATCTCCGGGCGACACGCCGCGAATCACTGCCCCATCCCTTCCTGGGCGAGCACGCGCGTGTGTGTTGCGGGGGGCAGAGAGAGAGAGGGAGACAGAGAGAGAGAGAGAGAGAGAGCGTCAAGGGGGAGTAGCCGCGATATGGCTATAAAACATTCGCGGGTCAGAGAGGTGCGGCGCTTACGCCTACCGCAGACCAAAACTTTCGTCTCTCTCTCTCTCTCCCTCTCACGCACACACAACACGCAAACTCCGCGCAGAGAACGCAGACGCGCTATAGGCTCGCACCTGCACCCAAAAAGGCCGACTGAAAATTTTGACGAGCCGGTCATACTTTTATGGTGGTCTGATTGAATAAAAAGACCTGAACCAGAGGTATGCGCCATTTTGTCGATCACTCCCGTGTTCTCTCTGTCTTTCCGCAAGGTCTCCCA